TATATTGAGGAAACTAATTTGACTGATTAAATATATTTACAAATATAGGAGAGAAAACATACCTAGCAATACAAAATAGGGTTATACAAGATAAAAGAATCAATATGTTAATAATCTGTTTCACATGGTCATACCTCCATGATTTTGAAGGTTTACAAATTTTAAATGTCCTTAATATATTTTATTATGCTTAATATCAAAATACAATATTTAATATTGCATATAAAAATTAATAGTTTACATAGGTGTTTTATTTTCTTTTGGTCTTTGTTTCGTGCAAAAATACTCTGAACAAAGAATTTTCTATAACCAGCAACTCAAAATATTGTTTGTAATTGTTTCTCTGTCTTTGATTATTTGAACTTATTTTCACAAGTTGTTTTGAATAGTTTACTAGGAACATTCCAACAAATTATTTAAGTAAATTACAAGAATGGTAGATTTATCGCCACAATTACTACAACGTAGTAAAACTCGACAAAATATCTGAAAATCTAAATATAGTCTTATCAGAAAATAGGGTATCTAAAACATTGGATAAGAGTATATATTTTTTTTTTTGGTCAAATGGATAAGAGTATATATATTTAAAGGTTATAATACCTCATTCTAGGCATGTCAATCGGGCTAGCCCGGCCCGGCCCGGACCGAAACCCGTAAAGCCCTCGTATATGTGAGCCCGGCCCGGCCCGGCCCGAAAAATTTCCGAGCCTATATTTCAAAGCCCGGCCCGACCCTAACAGGGCTACAGGGCTTTTCGGGCTTTTTTGGGCTTTATTTACCGATAAAAAATCAATTTCTAAGTTCATAATAGTTTTTTAGAAACTATATTTAAAGGTCTACGATAAAAATAATGCATCAAAGTTTAAATAACTTATCAATATTCAATAAAACTAACTTAATTTAAGATAAAAAAATAAAAGTCAAATAAATTATTTACACTTTAACCCAATAAAACATGGAACTAAAATACTTTAAAGTATAAGATAGAGTCAAAATTTAATAGATATTTTGATGATTTCAAAATCATGATACTTAAATATATTTAGTTTTAGCTTTGTATAAAGATTTTAAAAGTAATAAGTAAGACTAGTAAGTAAATATGAAAACTATAACATTAATCAAATCTTTTAATCAAACTAAAATATTCAAAAAATTCAAAATATATTTGTATAAGGGCTTTTCGGGCCGGCCCGAGCCCGACCGGGCTAAGCCCAAAAAACCCTTTAGCCCGAATGGGCTTAGCCCAAAAGGCCCGATTTTTTCTGGACATATATATTTAAGCCCGAGCCCGATGTTTTTCAGGGGTGGGCCAAACTAGCCCGCGGACTTTAGCCCTAATTGACATGCCTACCTCATTCTAACTTGGATTCACTTTTTACATATAATTTATTTTGATACATGTATATGATTAATATTTTAATGTCTTTTGATATTTTGAAAATATCATATGGCCTATATTACTCTTTCTGTTTTAATTTATACAAATTCAACATAATTTATAATTAATATTTTAATAATTTAAACATTTTTTATGGATCCGGGTTAGGTGTGGATAGCAGTGAATATAGGTATATCCATATCCATATAATTTTTGTCATGAATATAACAGATCTAGATCTAAGTACTCAAAAATTCAAGAGTATTTGATATGGGTGGATCCCTATATTGTAGTATATTTAGCATAAACTTTATAGCCTAATGAAAAATAAAGATCTAAAGTGGATTGCTTATAAAACATAAAAATGGAAAACTAAAGTTATATCCATATAGAAAAATGAGAAACAATCTTACTGATTTACATAGTAGAGAACTCGCAAAAAGAGAACATGATTTGTTTCTCACTTTCTCTCTCATTTCCGGAGTGAAGAAAGCGGGCTCGCCTAATCACCACCAATATCC